TGGGTAGTTCTCTGAGCTAGGGTCCCTTAATTAGGGTCCTTCTTACGAGGGTGCCGCCTTCTTTTTGGTTCCTAAAAAAGAGGACGAACACTTAAAGGACTGCCCATGTCATGAAGATATAGTTTGTGGTGTTGATGACTGTGGTTTCACTGCTTTTCGTACTCTCTTGTGAGCATTGCAAAAAGGTAGATTGAACTAGCTAATCGTCTCTTGTTCACTGCAATGGACCTTAAAGCACTAAACCCGAAGTCTCAAACCCGAAACTCTAAACCCTACATCCGAAACCACAGGCCCTACATAGGCCCTATATCCTGAGCCCCGGAAACCCATCCGGAACAGCAGCCATGGCCCGCCCTAAGACACTTATTCGGATCATGCTGGCAGCAGCCTTCCTCGGAAGCAGTCTAAACTCTCGCGATGCAGTGGATGCCAATGAGGCTCTTCTGCCTTGGTTTGGGCTCCGGGGTTACATGGTTTTGAATGTTGGGTTTCGTGCTTGGGGGCTTTAAGGCTGAAGGTTTAGGGTTGATTTTTGTCGGCATAGCTTTTTGTTTCAGCTTGCAAGCAAGGCCAACCGCCTCGTTGGGTCATGGGGTTCTTCAGGGTTTGGGTTTAGGGTTTAGGGTTTAGGGGTTCTTCAGATTAGGGCTTCTGGTGTTCTTTTTTGCTTGCCATGGACGTATTTCTTTAGGATTTGTCGGTGCCTGTTCTGCGGGCATGACACAATGAGTTGGTCTGCTCTAACTTTTGCAAATGGCTTATACCCTAAACTCTAAACCCTATCGGATTATAGAAGCCGAAGGTCATGGGTGCTTGAGACAGCAAGGCCCCAAATACCCCCGACCCTCGGGAGGATGCAACGAGTAGATCTCTTGAGGTGGCTCCCAAATTAGGGTTCTACTCTCACTGCTTTCTAGATGTTCCACGGGGTCTGGGACTGCGGACCTCCCCCCGCTCAACAAGAAAGCAACATTCCTACATGCCCATGACTCTGTTTTATCCAAGCCCTTGAACTGAACGGCTCAGGTTTTCGTGTGTGGGCGACAACGGCAATCGACTGGCTTTTTCGCTGGATCTGTACCTAGTCAAGGTACATCCCTGTCATGTCTGGTGGGCGTTGTTGAGGGCATTCCTTCATGGGAATGCCCTCTTGCTCAGAACACCCTACTAAACCCTGAACCCTGGACCCTAGCTCCCGCCCCGTGCTGATAGCGAGAAGGACTACACTTAAGGTTGAGACTTACGATAGACTGGCCCGGCAAAAAGTACTTCTCCCTATGAGGCAGAACACCAGGTATCGGGGTCGGAATAAGTAGTAATACTGTTCTTTGATTAGGCTTCCGTAGTGTAGACTCTAGTCTAAGTATTAAGGCCCCTGTATACGGAACACATGGGCGATCTGCATGGTAGCCACATCAGGCGCATTCGAAACAAGCCTTGTGCCCAGTACTCATGCCGTCTGGTCGCAACACCGCTGTGAGCGTCTAAGTTGTGCCTTTGACAAAGGTGTATATTGCTGAATCGTGTGACTGTGACTGTAGCATACTGTAATTGCCTGAAGCACCTAGAGGGCTGAAGTACCCAAGGAGTAGGGCCCGAGGTTCCACTTATTCGGATCCCTATTTCATTTCTGATCAAGAGGGGGACTTATGAATCAGGCGTCTACTCAGCATGGTTTTGGGTACGTTTAAACCTTCCTGTTGGCAGGGTATTTGCGCACTTGGACCCAAAGGCTCCATCAACATATCCCGAACCCCGTGCAAACACTGCACCCTAAACCCTAAACCCTAAACCCTAAAACCTAAACCCTATGCCTATGTGACTGTTCGGCTTTCCCGTTATGGATCGCCTGAGCCCAGGAACATCGTCCACTTCTCAAAAAGGCTCGAGTCTACGACGGCCTTTTGCCTGACGACCGCTTGCCTGTGGTGCAGAATGAGGCTAAAATGAGGATACCTACAGCGCTGGCCCGAGAGTTTATAGACATACTGCATTTGCTTTTGCGCCTGGCTCCTTACGTTGCAGCATCCGTGCTTTACCGGAAGTTCGTGCTGGGTATCAAAATGAAGTTATCCGGAGCTTGCATACTCTTCGGCAAGATCATGGCGAGTTGTGGCGTTTTCTATATGATCATTTCAGTAGTCCAACTTCTCGTTCCGAAAGTTCGGACGACTTCCGGCTCACTATTGGAACAACCGACGGTGGAGGAAGTAGACAGATGGCTGAGTTTTACGGCTGTTGCCTTTACAGAACTGCGGCGGCAAGCTGCGCACATGCTGTAGTTCCGACAAAAAGAATGTGCATTGCCCACTCTCAATTCTCAACACGAGAACTCAATACCCCCTGAACTCTAGACCCCTAAACTGAGGGTTTTACGTGTTGAGGGTTTAGAGTTTAGGGTTTAGGTCTTTGAGGCTTCTATACCAGCCAACCCCTAACACCCTCGATTGGCAGGCAGACCCGACATTGTGTATTTCACATCCAGTCCCCAAAGCCGCGAAACCAACACGATATCCTAAAGCCTAACACCCCAACCCCGTGACAGTAAATGATGGAACACTGCTCTCTACACTCCAAACGTCCCAACAACCCAACTCCTTATATGACACCAATCCTTGAATCTTTATCCATGAACCCCAAACAAACCCAAGACCCTAAGCCCTGAACAGGAAAGCCACAAAACCCAAACCACAGGACCCTGTAAACAGTCCCGTCGGGAGTATGCACAGTAACGGATCAAATCCACAAGAGTGCAAAGCGGTGGAGCTGTGCCCGGGCATTAGTAGCGTGCTTATAACAGATCATGGAACTTAGTACCTGTATGAGGGAGACAGCTGTACTTTTAATGAATACTTGTAACCTCATAAGGGTTTAGGGTTTAGGGTTTAGGGTTTAGGGTTTAGGGTTTAGGGTTTGGGGTTTAGGGTTGCTTGCTACGTCCCATGAACCTCCAAGTAGGGTTCCCTAGAATCTTCGTCGGCTTCAGGATCACATAGGGTTTCGTGCTTGGGAGTTTAGGAGCATTGGTTTAGGCTGTTTCCGCCTGAAGGTCGCTGTTTACGTTGTGCTGCAGTCCTTGCATAGCTATGAGGGTTTAGGGTTTAGGGTATTTAAGTGTTTTCACTTCGGAGTGCTTAAGTAAAGTAATCGCAGGCATGGCATGCAGCAGCAGAAACTGGCTTAATAGCGGCAGGTGCATGGGTTTATTGAGCCGTTGGCACGATCTCCGCAGATGCTGCAAATCAGGCTGCTCTCCGGGGAAGCTGTCGCGAGCATACCCGTGGAGGAGATTTGCGACGTCAGAGGCTTGAAGCGGCGTTTGCATCGGCTACATGGCTTGCCCCCACGATATAGACAGAGGCTCCTCGTAGACGGCAAGGATGTTGGCGATTACACCACGCTGCACTCGCCAATGGATCTGGATCTAGTCCTGTTGCTAAGTAGCTGAATTGGAAAACCTTTTTTGCTTGTCCCTGAAAAGCCCTATAAGGAATCCTCAGGCCCTAAACCCTAAATGCTTCTAGATCCTTTTAAAGGAGCCCTACGTAGATCCCTTTAGAAGGAACTCCTACAGATCCCTTTGAAGGATCCCCGCGTCAGCCTAAACCCTACCTAAGCCCGAAACCCAAACCCTAGAAACCCTAAACCCTAGACCCTTAACCCCAAAGTAGCTCTATAGATCCCTTTAAGGGATCTTCTATATATAGTAGCCCTATAGATCCCTTTTAAAGGATCTTCTGTAGTAGCCCTATATAGATCCCTTTAAAGGATCTTCTATAGTATTAAAGGATCTTCTATAGTAGCCCTATAGATCCCTTTAAAGGATCTTCTATAGTAGCCCTATAGACCATATCCCAGCCCAGGCTCCCACTGGCAGAATTCATCGACAGCTTTACCACCAATGCCACGCGGCGGAAGTGGTACCTGCATGACTGGAGCTTGCCGAGGTGGGTTCTTTAGGGTTTTTGGGATTTTCGGGTTTAGGGTTTTAGGGTTTTGGGGTTTAGGGTTCTAGGGTTTTGGGGTTTTAGGGTTTGGGGTTTTAGGGTTTTAGGGTTTGGGGTTTTAAGGTTTTAGGGTTTGGGGTTTAGGGTTTTTAGTTTAGAGTTTAAGGTTTAGTGTTTAGGGGGTTTTAGGGTTTAGGGTTTAGGGTAGCACGGGTTAAGTTCTTAGAACTCTCCCGCGTGTGGCGATTGACTTTGAAGGTTGAACCGCGGTCATGAAGAGCATGGACGGGGCAGTATCCCTAGGGCCAAACACTGTGGCTGCCAATGATTGCAGAATAGTGTTTACTCAAAGCAATAGATGCTTGATAGGCAACTGGACGGTTGGGGGAATAGTTTGCTGCCGGCAGAGTTTATCGAATGCTTCCACCGATGTAACTGTAAAGCATGACTAACCTTGATCCTCACGCCAGAATCCCTAACCCTCCTTAGTGTTCAATTGTTTAAAGTGTAGTAGTGTTTGTTGAACGTACTGTTTTTGTTGGCTAGCACCTGCTCGGGGAACAGTATGGCCCAAGCAAAGGCACTACAATGCCTGTTTGGGAGTACAAGGTTACGAGGCTTCCTGAACTACCACAACCACGAACAAACCTAACCCCCCAAACGTTAGTTCATGAATCCCAAGCTATCACGACCGGTCCGACCGACACTATAAACCTTAGGCCATGCACCCTAAACCCTGGTAGTGAAAAGTCTACAACGCTACAATGGAGGGGCCTAAACAATTGCCTATATTATTTTGGGGGTTCCATATTACGGTTATACTTTAAAGAGCCCCAAAACCCTAGTCTAATTGTTAAGGCCCTTTTATTATGGCCCAAAATCTCACACCCGATGACCTTCACCCTAAACCCTAAACCCTAGCTTGCACCCCGAGCCTATGCCCTGAACCCGAAGACCTTCGATCCGATAAGCCAAAAACCAAAGCCTAAGCCTTAAAAGTCCCACAGGTTTAGGGTTTAGGGTTCAGGGTTTTGGGTTCAGGGTTTAGGGTTTAGGTTTTAGGGTTTAGGGTTTAGGGTTCAGGGTTTACGGTTTAGGTTCTGAGCCGTAAGCCCTAAACCGTCTGAACCGAAACCCCCCTACAACGCCGCGTCGCGCAGATATTGCCCGGCAGCTTTTGGACCGCCGCCCTTCCGAGGCCTCTAGCGGATTCGGGTTTCAGGGTTTCTGGTGTGCTAGCGTTTAGGCGGTTTAGGGTTTAGGGTTTGGGGTCTAGGGATTTAGGCTTGACTCCGGTCGCAGGGAAAGTGATTTAGAAGGGTTCATGGATTGGGAAGCAAGATTTACTGTGCAGGGCTTTAGCTTCCAGGCTTTAGGCTTTGGGATTTAGGGCTTTAGAAGGGTTTCGGATTTATGATCTCGTGTTGGTGCGTTTAGGGTTTGCAGCTTTTTGGGTTTAGGGTTACAGGGCCTTCCAGTGCTATTTGTCTTTGTAGTTCGCCGAACTTGTGGTTTAGGCACCTTTAGTAAAACGAAAAAGGCTATAGAAAGGTAGCCGGGCAAGAGAACTACATTGGACGGTAGAGGGAATCCCAAGCTTCTGAAACCGCAAAGAACTCTTTTAGATACCTTCAAGACAGGCCCTCTATTGAACTCTTATATATTAAATCCCAAAAAGCCGGAAACCGGATAGGCCAAACAGTGCTGGGATTCCCTACACACTATACTCTTAAGGATTGGGGCTATTGGGTTTCCAACTTTGAGGCTTCTACCCCTAAACCGAAAACCCTGAACCCTAAACCCTAAACCCGAAAACCCCAAACCCTACACTGTTCTCCTGAAAGGAATCCGATAACGAAGCCTCACCTCCGACACCCCAGCAGTCACACACCCAAAGCCTGAGCAGCCTAAAGCTTGCTATGACCTGGACCCTGACCATAAACCCAAAGAGCCTTCAACCCGAAACCCTAAACCCTAAAGCCAAAAAGCCCTAAACCTCAAATCCTCAACCAGGCAGAGGAAGCTCAAGAACTTGGAGCAGACCCAGGGTTTGGGGTTTGGGGTTTAGGGGTTTAGGGTTTAGGGGTTTAGGGTTTAGGGGATTAGGGTTTAGGGTTTTAGAAGCCCGATCCTTGTTCACTCCACCCCTCGCAAGCCCAACCCCTAATACACGAAATGCCCCTTTAAGTCCAAGCCGAAATCAAAAGCACTATACTATATACCGGCTACACCCCTAAACCCCTCTAGTGCCTATAGTACCCTAAGCCTGAAGCCCAAAACCCCAAAACCCTAAACCCTAAACCCTTACACCCTAAACCCCTGAACCCTAAACCCTGATCCC